TGTCCGGCAGTGATTTCCAGCGATTTACAGCGATTTACAAGGAACTGATGCGACCCTCTGCGTTTGCTTCCCCGCTGTGGTTGGAGATATCTGATCAACAGCGATGCGACTCAAATGCCCCGCTGTACACACTAACCCTGATGCTAAACCTTAATTGTGCACTCACACGCACGCTCCCGCCGCGCCCCGGTTGCCACCCCCAGCCGAAGTGGAGGACGGGGAACCGTTTTAGAATTTCCCTTTTCGGGCGCAGCGATGACCTGCATCCTAAGGACTCAATGACATGCATCCTACTACACACTAACCCTGATTCTAAGCTTTAATTGTGCACTCACAGGCACGCTACCGCCGCGCCCCGGTTGCCGCCCCCAGCCGAAGCGGAGGGCAGGGAACCGTTTTAGAATTTCTCTTTTCGGGCGCAGCAATGACCTGCATCCTAAGGACTCAATGACCTGCATCCTACACACACTAACCCTGCTTCTAAACCTTAATTTTGCACTCACAGGCACGCTACCGCCGCGCCCCGGTTGCCACCCCCAGCCGAAGCGGAGGGCGGGGAACCGTTTTAGAATTTCCCTTTTCGGGCGCATCGATGACCTGCATCCTAAGGACCCAATGACCTGCATTCTACACACTAACCCTGATTCTAAACCTTAATTGTGCACTCACACGCACGCTACCACCGCGCCCCGGTTGCCACCCCCAGCCGAAGCGGAGGGCGGGGAACCGTTTTAGAATTTCCCTTTTCGGGCGCAGCAATGACCTGCATCCTAAGGACTCAATGACCTGCGTCCTACACACTAACCATGATTCTAAACCTTAATTGTGCACTCAGCGGAAGCGGAGGGCGGGGAACCGTTTTAGAATATCCCTTTTCGGGCGCAGCGATGACCTGACTCAATGACCTGCGTTCTACACACTAACCCTGATTTTAAACCTTAATTGTGCACTCACAGGCACGCTACCGCCGCTGACCTGCATTCTGATTCTAAACCTTAATTGCGCACTCACAGGCACGCTACCGCCACACCCCGGGCGCAGCCATGACCAGCATCCTAAGGACTCAATGACCTGCATCCTACACACTAACCCTGATGCTAAACCTTAATTGTGCACTCACACGCACGCTACCGCCGCGCCCCGGTTGCCACCCCCAGCCGAAGCGGAGGGCGGGGAACCGTTTTAGAATTTCCCTTTTCAGGCGCAGCGATGACCTGCATCCTAAGGACTCAATGACCTGCATTCTACACACTAACCCTGATTCTAAACCTTAACTGTGCACTCACATGCACGCTACCGCCGCGCCCCGGTTGCCACCCCCAGCCGAAGCGGAGGGCGGGGAACCGTTTTACAATTTCCCTTTTCGGGCGCAGCGATGACCTGCATCCTATAAGGACTCAACGATCTGCGTCCTACACACCAACCATGATTCTAAACCTTAACTGTGCACTCACACGCACGCTACCGCCGCGCCCCGGTTGCCACCCCCAGCCGAAGCGGAGGGCGGGGAACCGTTTTAGAATTTCCCTTTTCGGGCGCATCGATGACCTGCATCCTAAGGACCCAATGACCTGCATCCTACACACTAACCATGACTAAAAACCTTAATTGTGCACTGACACGCACGCTACCGCCGCGCGATGACCTACGCGGAAGGTGGGAAACCGATTCAGAATTGTCTTTTTCGGACGCAGCGCTGCGGCAGTAGATGCGCTGGACAAGTATTACGTCGCACTGGCTTGAGCTTAAACTCGATGATCTGCATCCTAAGGACTCGATGTCCTGCTTTCTAAACTCTAACTCTGATTCCAAACCTTAGCTGTGCATTCACACGCACACTATGGCCGCGCCCCGGTTGCCACCCCCAGCCTCACCGGAGGGCGGGGAACCGTTTTAGCATTTCCCTTTTCGGGCACAGCGAGGACCTGCATCCTAAGGAATCGATGACCGACATCCTAAACTCTAACCCTGATTCTAAACCTTAACTGTGCATGCACACGCACGCTTCGGCCGTGCCCAGCTGCCACCCCGGCCTACGCAAGGTAAGAAACCGATTCAGAATTTCCTTTTTCGGACGCGGAGGGCAGGGAACCGTTTTAGAATTTCCCTTTTTGGGCGCAGCGATGACCTGCACCCTAAGGACAGTGGCCTGCATCCTAAACACTCTCATTTAAACTTTAACCGTTGATTTGCACGCAGTCCACCGACGTGTCCCGGAAACCGATTCAGAATTTCCCTTTTCGGACGCAGAACTGCAGCAGTATATGTGCTGGAATAATATTACGTGATGCTAATTTGAGCCTAAACTCGATGACCTGCATCCCAAGGAATCGATGACACGCATCCTAAACTCTAATCCTGATTCCAAACCTTTACCGTGCGTTCACACGCACACTGCCGACGAGCCCCGGTTGCCACCCCGGGGAACCGTTTCAGAAATTGCTCGATGACCTGCATCCTCAGGAATGGATGACCTACATCCTAAACTCTAACCCTGATATTCTAAACCTTGACTGTGCATTCCCACGCGCGCTACCGCCGCGCCCTGGTTGCCGCTCCCAGCCGCTGAGCCTAGAGGAAGGCGATAAATCATATTATCCTTGTCAGGCGATGTCGGGGGCAGCGACGACCTGCATCCTAAGGAATCGATAACCGACATCCTAAATTTTAACCGTGATTCCAAACCTTAACCGTGCATTCACACGTACGTTACCGCTGCGTTCCTGTTGCCACCCCCAGCCTAAGCAGAGGGCGGGGAACCGTTTTAGAATTGACTTGATGACCTGCATCCTCAGGAATGAATGGCCTACATGTTTTGCACTCAGACGGGCATGTCGGAATAAAAATGTTTTGGCTTCGCAATCTCAGACTCTCAGACTCTCGCACGCAATGCGTCCTGTACACTGTACAAAAAGTATCTGACCTGAAACAAAGTTAAGTGCAACGCAGCCACCTTACTGGCATGCTGTTGGCACACGGGTCTTGCGGCGTCCTGGGCGAATCAAAGGCGCTACGACGCGGAGTGCAAAGGGATGGCGTCTCGTTCGCTGCCTTTTCGGCGGCGGAGGAATTGCGGCGCTAGGCCGCTTAAGAATATTCGGAAGCGGTTTTGGCGCTGCCTTGACACGTGCTTGAGTAGCCTTGACTGCTGCCCGAGTAGCCTTGCGCTGCTCTGCGCCAGCAAGCAATGCTTTTTTCGGCATACGCTCATGTTGTTTCAGATCGGCACACCATTTCTTCCAGGTGGTGGCATCCCATATGTCCGCCATGCCAATCAGACGATGCGCTATTTGCTTCTGTGTATTTTGGCGTTGCAAAGGATGGTACAATGACATATTATGGCTACCAAGTTTCACGAATTGAAAGAAAAGAAGCTTGGTTTCTAGCGTGGAGCGATGCATAGCCACCTGAGTTCTCACTTGTTTATCAGACAAAGAACTATTCTAAGCTCTGTCGCGATGAATAAAGAGAAAAATGCAACATTTTCACCGAGAAACAATCTCATGAAACCAGCTATTCAGCTCGTGATGAAGTGACTCATTAGATGTCGTACCGCTAGGCAGCAACGGTGTCTGAGAAGGCAAACAGACATGCCGATATCGGGTGTCGTTGAAGAGCCACTGGATTTTCACTGGAGATGTAAGATTAATCAGAAGACGATGTAACGTTGGGCCCGAGAAAGTGGTTTTTGTGAGTTCGTCCTGAAACAAAGCACATATAGCAGCCATGGCTTCCAGGAATTGTGCTTCTGTTCGCCAAGGAGTGTCGGGGTCCAAGTTCTGCAGCACGTGTACTGCTTCAGCCTCAGGCATACTTGCGTCAGAAATCAACGCCGACAGTCTCTTTTCTTCAGCTGTGTAAGAAGGCTTCTGCTGTCCAGTGTACATAGGTCCCCAGGCAGCTGCCGGGCATCCTGCCTGTATATTGCGAAACTTATTCATCACGGTAGCTAACCATCTGCTGCCTGTGGTTTTCTTGTTGCTGAAGTTCTGCTCGTAAACCATCACGATATGCATCGCATCCAAACCAAGGGATTGTAGATTCGAAAACGTATTCTTGAGTGTCGCTAAAAGCTCGACGCTCGGTGCATCGGAAGCAATGTGAATAACTTGCGCTCGTTGGGACGGTGACAATAGACTGGCTAAGGCAGTCGAAATCACTGGGGAGCCTTCTGATCGAACGCCGCACAGGCCGACTACAGCATTCGTTCGTCCGCGAACCGTTAGAAGTTTGTAGGCAGCTTCGGAATCTGTAATGGCTGCAGCGTCACGCACGTCTTGACTGCTGTTGAAATGCGCCTGACCAATAACTTTCATCATGCCTTGCATGACTTCTGAACCCCTCCTAAAAGTTTAACTTTTAGGCTCCTTATTGTAGTTCCCACCATGCCCAAAAAAGTTAAAGTCCTAAGAGCCAACCAGAAGAGAACCAAGATGCATTTCACAGTCGCGTCAATGCTCAAGTACTGGAACTCCGTATGATCTTCGCATTCTTGTAAACGCGTTTGAACTCTGGATTTGATCTGTGGTGATTGGACTATGTCCTCCAACACGTTGCACCAGAATGAATGGCTTGCTTCTGGCAACATAGAACACAATGCCCCGTGGTCGCGCGCAGAAGAGGATGAAAAGCTGCTGCAATCTGTCGAAAGGACGCGCGGCTGGCCACGGCGTTGCACATAAATTCATTCGCAAATCCTTGGTTGTAATATACATTGCCAACGCGTCGCAAATCCTTCGCTGCCTTGATTTTCGACAAGGACATAAAGTATGGACCCTTCGCGCTCAAGCACATACGTATCTCCTTGTCAATAATGTTTCTTTTCGAAGAACAACCAGGCTTGACTTGACACCTGAGAAGCTCGGCTGCACGTTGAATATAGTTACCATGAACAGCCTTGCGCGCAGCATCGTCATCGTACATGGCAGCAATAATGCGAAGCTGCTTCGTACCGGATGCCACGAAGCGCTTGCTTTCGCTGTGATGTTTTGTGAGATGTGTCAGCAAATAACTTCTTTTATCGAAGCGTCGCCATGGGCATAAAGGGCAGACCTGCGACCCGAAGCTTGATCCTTTGTTCTGTTGAACTTTCGCAATGAGGTTCTTGACTTCATCTTTGAGGAGCTCTCGTAGATGCATTCCAACCTGAACGTCGGCTTCGGTCGCTTCGCTACCGGCCCCTGAAGCTCCAGCTTGAGAATCCATCCGATCCTTCGAACTGGCGCCTGCGACAAGATCCAGCAGCTGCTGCTCTCCAGCAACTGCTGTTGGCTCCGTACTTTGGACACAGAAAAAGACAATGCTGCATGCTTCGCAAGACTCATCAAGAATTTCCTGCAAGGCAGGAGCAGTTGCTTGCTTATCTGGTAGGACTTTCGCACCAAAGCATTGCGGGGCACTGCCAACGTTAGCGTGCACAAGAAAATCCGTTCCTGGCAGTGAAGGCAGCGTAAAGCATGGCCGAAGGAAGCGCTGATTGCATTTTGTCCAGTCCTTGTAGCATCTGTAGCCACCTTGCTCTGCGCGAGGTTGACTGTCCGCAATGCCTCCTCCACAAAACGCCAGGCTTGTGTCACACAGGCGTACGCGAAAGGTATGCAGTTACCAGGCGATGAGAGTAGCGTCAACATTGTCTCATCAGCAGCGTCCACACGCAGAGACGTGCCTTCTAACTCAGTGACCTGAAACGCTTTTCAGTAATGGTGATCTGAAAGCCAGTGCGTTCGAAAATTGCGGCTTCTGCTACAAGAGGAAAGCTTTTCATGTCGTTTTTTTCTTGGACAGCCTGCACAATCTCAGTCGACAGTAGAACACCATCGAAGTGTAAGGAAATGTGCTTGCGCGACACCTCAACATCTGCAACTAGATCCAAGATGCTGCTCAGACAAAGGTCTTCTGCAGCGTTCCACCAATAAGCAAAGACCGTTGCTTCTGGCCAACTGCTTTGCTTTAGACCGGCAGCACCATCTTTCGCGCTCAGGTAAAGATCTGGACACTGACTCCGAGCAAGCCAACGCAAGCAGCGGCTTTCTTTAGATAGATCATGCAAAAATTTCTGACCAGTCTCGCAAATATCATCGGCTGAGGACAGAGCTCGACCGCAAGCTACCTGAAGAAGAAGAGCTTTTCCTCTGGTCTGGCTGCACTGCAGGATCTCTGCGCAAACCTTCTCTCTAGTCTTAGCCACAGCACGCCAAGCTGCTAAGTCTTTCAGTGTTTTATGATAGGCCACGCCGAGTTTGTCAACCATCTGAACCACGATGGTGAACATGCTTGCGTGGAAATCGAAATCCCGTGTGTTCTTGCAAACAATATTGCGAAAAACCCTTGAGAAACTTTGCGCGCCGAACCCATCCACCATGCGCCGACAGCGGTGTTGAAGCTTGTACGAATAGGTACGCTGCATAACCATCTCTAATAGTTCCACATCTTGTTCCACACACTTCTGCATGTCATCGAAAAGTTGTTGCTCCATGCGAAGGCGGGCGCCCATTGTCTGTATCATGTTTTCTTGATTCTCCTGGACTGTACGTTGTACTTTTGTAGGTGCACCTGCACCGCTGGCTTTGCTTTTCTTCAAGTCGTTCAACCTTTTTTTATGGGCTTGCAGCAAAACTTTGTCATTTGCAAGACGTCCTTTGTGTTCGAGCATGTGTTGGCGCAATGCCTCACAGTCGTAAACTTCTGGGAAAACTGTGCAGCCGTGATGATCCATATTGACCACCTCCTTCATGGACTTCTCTGTGTGGATTTGCGGCGCAAAGATCTCGGTAAGACCTTGTTTTTGAAGAGTCAAAGTGCTTTGGAGCATGAGCTTGTTGTCAGCCAGCGCTTTGAGAATGTTCTCTGCATCTTGACGACTAAACGCTTTCCAAAAATGTTTGCCCTTGACCGTTTTTATCTGGGAAGGCGTGCACCAGTCTTTATTGACATCGATCATCCAAGCCTCAATCTCATCTGCCTGTTGTTGTAAGAGCCGTAAGACTTCTGGATCTACTTCCTGGCCTGCGCCGTCTGTTTCAGGTAGATCGCTCGTCACCGAGCCGGGAAGCCGAGAACTGTCCCGGTTTTCTGACGTGTCAGGAGGTTTGAGTCCACACGCTTCCCGGACACACGCTTCTGTGAGACCCTCATCCTTCTTACCGACAACATAGTCCTCCAGGCAGCTTCTGCAGTCTGCGGCGCTGTGTCTGCAAGCGTAATTCCACACAGCTCTCAGAGTGACGAGACACGCAGGTTTCGATCGCAGAAAGTCTTTCAACGTCGGATCTTTAGGAAAAATGCCTTTCTTCTCTGGCTCTTTCACTTGGTTCGTTATGTCCTTCAACTCCAAGAACAAAGCCTTGTAGCGCACAGCTAACGATCGTCGATATAAGGAGTTGAAAGTCTCTTCGCTGACGCCAAAGAACCTTTGCTGGTGAGGTTCATGCTTGAAGGTGTGGGTCGACAGTTCAGAAAACAGTGTGACCACTAACTTGCAGGCAAGTGACCTCGGCAACATGTTAAACTCGAACCGCTTCCAACCACGGAGCTCCACAAGTCGTGTCTCGATTGCGTATGGCAATCTTTCAGGAAGCTTGTCTGCCGACATGTGCTTCTTGTACACGTCCTCACGCATGCCTCTACGGCTGCCTTGCACCGACTCCTGGCCAGTAACGACAAGTTTTCCTAGAAGTGACGCAGCCTGCTTGCGCATCTCCTCGTCAGAATAATAAATATTCATGTCCAAGCACGCGTGAAAACTCCCGAGAATTGCTTCCAAGTGCGCGGTCTGCAGGCTCTGCCCCACCCCACCAGAGCCAATTCCCCAGAAGGCTCGATCAACGTTTTCTCCTCGAATAGCTAGAGTTAGTGCTGACATAAAACAGTCAAAGGCTTCTCCATTGTTCCAATAAGTTGTGTACCAGAAATGTTGGACTCGCTGCTTGACATCGTCAGGCACCGGATCCAGCAGCCGGTGTGGCAGGAAAGTGTATATGTTGTTCGAGCCGGCCTTCTGCAATTGCTGCAAGCCTTTCTCTTTCTCAAAGACCAGGCAGGCATCTAAAGTGCAAAATCCAGCCTGTCGAGGATCATCAATAGAACACCACTCCACATAGTACTTAATCAAATAGTCTTGCAGCAGTGAGGTTTGCCTTAGCAGAGACTGATGTGGAATGTACAGTGTTTCACTTACAAAGTTGCCAGCGAAATGACGTGCAGCTAAGATACAGTTTGACGTACAGCTTTCCAACAGTGCTCGCCATGACCTGTGTCCATGGCTTGTTCTCATCCTCTGAATCATCCCGGTTTTCATTTTCCACGCCCGCCCTTGTTTTGCGGCGCTTCGCAGCGTGAGGATTACAGCAAATAGCAGCTCTTTCGCATTCTTGAAGAAGGAAATCTGCGTTGTCGTTCCGACCCTGCAACAAGACTGATACTGCTCGGATGATAGAGTCCGGGGTGCGCAGTGTTCCAGTCGGTAGGAGTCTGTACAAACCTTCAAGGAAGAGCAAAAACTTTTTGCATCTGGCAAGGACACCCTGAGGAATAACGCCGTTGTACACGGCCCAGTGGCCATGTTCACTCAGAAAGAAACACTGGCCGTTATGAGCTCGCACATGTCGAGAACTTCCCTCAATAAGCTCAAGAAAAAGAACTTCCTCTCGACGTGAGATGTCCAGTAAACGCAAGCGATGCACAGAGATAGCTCCTTGCACAACATGCTGGAGGGGCTCCGGCCACGAGGAAGAGTCAGAATGCGCGGCAACAAGTTCTTGAACTTCTTGGATGTCATGGAGAATACTGCCTTGTTGCGACTGCGGAAGGTCTGGAACAACACCGTTCAGCAAAAATGCGTCGTCAATCTCAAGAATTTTGGCGACATGGTCGCGCCGCCCACTTGAATCCACCCTGCAACACTCAGGTGACGGTACAAGTGCATCCTCAAACTCCTGCTCGATGCGTTGCGTGAAGGAGTCCGCCTCACTGGCTTGACTGGGCGCCGCTGCCCCTCCACGGAAATCTCTCTCTTTTTCACCAGCTTGGTTTGCCAAACGGTTTCGCTGATATGTCATGATAGCATTTGCCTCCGCTTGCATGTCCGGGACCTTGTCAACAAATGCGCTACTGTCGGGATGGAAAGACACGATATGCATTCCAACGACACGCAGGTTGTAATATCTCTCCAAGATGAATTTGTACAGATTAAAGTGCAGTCGGTAATGCCAGAGCGATGCATCCGGGACATGGTGCATGGGCGACTTCATGAACTTGCCGAACGAGTTGTGCTTCTCACACAACTTGTTAGCACGCTTCCAGTCAAACAAGACCAGAGCGCCATCGGGCGCACGTGCCACAAAATCTATTGAGCCTGCAAGAGATTCTTCAGAAGCGTATATCTTCCATTCGGTGCGAAACGCAGAAGTGTTCCCGAATCCGCCCTCAGCGACAAACCGCAAAAACTTTGCTACCTCCAAGCTGCAAGAAGTGACACAGCCGCCATTAAGCAGACATTCTATCTGCGCATGCATCCAAGTTCCTCGCGCCGCACCAACGCGGCGTGCTTGCGCCCAAAGGTGGCATATTTCTGAGGAAGTCATAGAAACGATATCCGTCAGTTCGTTGTAGACGGCATCGGAATAAATCATGGACCGAACGAGATTGGCAACTGCAGCGCGATCATGCGGCAGCTGTTGCAACAAACTGACCAGTTGTTCCGTGCCGGGAATTTGTTGCAGAATCTGCAGAAGCTCCAGCGATGCATACGGCTTCACGTATGCAGCACGAGGCCAATTACTCCCTTGACGCATGCTCCTGATGACGTCTTGCTCTTTAAAGCCGCCAGTAAGCAAATGAATCAAGCCAGTTACTGAAATGTTAACACTTTCATTCTTCCAATAGTAGCGATGCCCTTCCTCTTGGAAGACCAAATGTTGATCACGCTCATGACTGTGCAAGATACTGAGATGATCAAAGATAGGAGGTACTTTGAGATGCTCCACACCAAAAATCACAGGCGTGCATGTCAGCACTGGCCTGGGCAAACTCGACAGCCGGATTTGCGGCGGCAAAAGGTTTTCCAGCCCATGATCACACAGAGACGTTAATCCTGGCGGAGGCGACGTGGCTGGACAAGTGGAGAACTCCGTGCTGGCCAAGACTTTCTTCGCGCGAAGCACATGCTCATTGTAGTCCCATTCGTCAGACTCTGGTTCGGATACATGCACTTCGGACCTTCGACACAGCTTGTTGAAGCTTCTCGCGCGCCTTGCTGGGCTTCGTGACCTCAAGCGGATTTCAGTTTGTGGTAGTTTATTGGCTAGAGACACAGCCGCACCTGGACTGGAAGGTATGCAAAGCTGTTGCTTTCGCAGGGCTTGCAATCTTTTTGTATCGAGAAATGTTGCAGACGGAGAACCACTCGTTCCACCTACGTGGTCTTCAAAGTGAAGCTCATCCATACAGCCCAAACATACTTGCGCTGCAGTTGTAGAGAAACCATGCTCTTCGCAAAACCAGTGTTGACAAGCAAGACAGCATGCGTGCGCTGGCCGACCGCGATGAAGTGAAGCGCAAATTGTACAATCAGGGTTTGCCGTATTTTCCGGTCGCGAAAATGCTGTTGTTATCACTACTAGAGGAGAAGACTCGCGAGATGCCCATGACACGACATAAGGATAAGCCCAACTTGAAATAACGCGTTCGTCAACTGGCGTGTCAACGTGGCATAGTGGGACATCGTCGAGAAAGACTGCGAAATAGGTTGCATTCCACTCCATGCAAACGTTAAGCCAGCGAACACCTCTGTGCGGAGGTATATCGCATGGAGTCAACGTTTCCTCCCCTGGAGTTGCTAGTAAAGGGTCTGAGCCGAATGGATTTTGTATAGAAGCCCACATTCGGGAAGAGGGCGGGCTGTTTCGAACTAGGTTCTTGATGCCAAGGACCAAAGTGCGAATATCTGAAGACACTGCAATGTCCAAGCTGGCACGCTGATAAACAGGATGCAGAGCGCGCCAAGAACAAAAGTCGCTTTCGCGCCGAAGGAAAGTGTGTCCTGACCATTCAAGGAGGACTCTGGACGTTGAAGTCGGCGGGACAGCATGTATGTGTCGATACTGCAGCTTGATGACCTTTGCTTGAGCAAGGACAGCCATCAAAAAACTAAAAGCACTTCCGGGCCGAAATGCTTGCGCACCTGCGTCTCGCAAGTCGACTACGGAGCCTCGCAGCAGTGAATCCTCTCGCAGAAGTTCAGACGCAGATTTGCTGCAAGCTCGCAAGCACAGCAGCTCGCGTGTCGTGGCAATGTTGATAATGACTTCCCTTTGGAGACTCTGCGACAAACACGACAGAGGATCTGTCGGCTTCAACGCATCGGAGCCCCCTGCAAGGTCATTGACATGCTCACGTCGGCGTTCTGCGAAGGCCATCTGCAAGTTGTCCTTGCACACTTGTTCTCCGATAGAGTATAGGAAGACATAGGCATCGCGCTGCAAGCCAACACATGAAATGTCGACAGAAAGCACCGTTCGACCATCAACCTTGAGTCTGAGCGAATGCTGCTGCCAAGCTAGATCCAAGACACGCACACATCGATCTGCAACCAGGAAAGGACATGATACGTCTATTGGCGCTTGCTTAGAAGCCGTCCACCTAATGCAGGTTTTGCATTCTGTTTGAAAAGGAGCAGTGATTGTACAAGAGCAAAGGTGTTGAACTTCCGCGTCTGACATTCTGGAAACGAATGCGTTCGTGACACCGATCACAAGTGCGTCAACCTGGCAACCCCACGACATGACAATGCAAGCGTGACCTTGCAGTGGATTCACGGAGCGCAGACTCGCGTACGCCGTTGGATTCAAGTGGTACGTCGGCGACGCAGCAAAGAATATTTGCGAAGGCAAACTTCGTAGATAAAGCGTGCTGTCACATTTCCAAGAGTCGCTGTTCATGATAACATCTTGCAACTCCGTGCACGTTGAAACAGCACGAGCCAAATCCCACAAGTCTAGATAGTGAAGTAGCTGTCGTCGAAGCGGAAGGCTTAGAGACAAGAGCGCAAGCTCCACATCCTCCAACGGTGGATGCACCAAGTGGCCAGACACGCCTGGCTCTGCCACGGCGACGGGCAAAGCACAAACCAGAAGTTTGTTCTCGCCTAGCGCCAGGCAAATCTCCCACTGCAAGTCGACGGGGAACGTTCGCACAAACTGCCAAAAGCTTTGCGACGACAAAAAGCGTCCTGGCCCGTGAACAAAAAAAGAAGCTGCGTTCTTGACCGTCAAAAAGCTTCTGGCCATGCTCTGTAAGCTTCTATTGACCGGTAGATAGTGTCGACGCAACGCGTCTTCTTGGACAATGAATCCATCAAACATTCTCCAGTACATCTGCAGGGACGATCCTCCTTGGACATCTTGAGCCACGGCGTTCTCGAGGAGCATGACAAATTCATGCGCCAACGCATTCGCATCCTTTGGGGAAAGACCCCAGCACGCGACACGATATGCGGGCAAATAAACCAAACAATCTGCTTGCGCATGCTCTGCACCAAAACCAAATTTTGAAAGTAAAGGTGACTGCGGGTGCATGGAGTAGCCGTCCTCCGGCGGTGCGTTCGCAAACGCTTCTGGCAAAAAAGCTGCATTCTTGCGGCGAATGAGGACGTAGTTCCAATCCTTGGTGAACTGTTCCAGATGCGACGCTTGAGGAAGAAATAGCGTTTGGAACGCTCCGTCCGGAGGAAGGATGACAACCTCACGGGCACCGATGATAGACTAGTGATTCAAGTCTTGCGTGACTTGCGCGACAATCGTCACATCCACTTCAAGCATTCACAAGAACAAGTCTTGATCTTAAACTTTGACCTTTTTTGACTTCGAGCCTTATCTCCGCGCTCCTCCAGACGAGACTTAGCCTGCTAAGCAATGCGCAGAAACAAACGTATTTGCTGACTATGAAAAAGAGTTCAAGTCAAGCGCACTAGTGTCTAGCAGCGGGCCTGCTTTTCTGAGCGAAGACGTTCTTTTTCGCTTACTTCCTTCAGCTGTTTCTACTGCAGCAACGAACGCACGAACTTTAACGTGCGTGATAGCAAAGTTACTGTGAAGACTGCCAAAAGCACCTTGGCCTTTTGTTGAGCAACTTCTGCTCGGAATAGAGCCCACTCCTTGCACCAGTTGCGTCTATTGTCAGAGGATCAGTGCATTTCTCCGTGTCGGCCATTCACTCACCCATGACAGTAGCCGACGGACGACAAGACAAATTCGGGGACAAGTCTCTCTCTGTTGGTCTGATAGCAAGGGAGGCAATGTCCGCGGCTCAGGCACTTCCCCACAATGGTTTTCCAAGTCTGCCATAAATGCTCCGAGAATACGTTTCTTCCACGGCTCATCAACGGTCATTCCTAAGCGACGTGCCCACACGTCTTTGCTGTCTGCTGGCTGGGACATGGGCGTCTCCGTCAGTGATCGCGTCCTGACACCGCACAAGTGGCGAGAAGTTTGTCTAGCATGTTGGTTCGCCTTTTCTTAAAGCTACTTGACGATCCTCCGACGCCACCGATTGCACGACGGGTTGCTGGAAGCCTTTACGGCAGCGTGCGCTTGCGTTTACTTCCAAGCACACGTGATCCTGTCTGACATCACGCCCGCCTGGGC